CTCACACAGATGTGGTTTATTTGATGAAGAAATCAAAAAATGCTTCACTGCATCTATACACATGGGCTTGCTGTATCAACCAAACCTCACTCCTCAAGCACAGCTCATATATTTGGTTCCTGCAACTTCTTAATCACGGCACTGTACGCTGCCTCTGTCTTGCAGTATCACAGCCTCTTTTTCACTAAAAAACTCCATGTGTGAAACAGAGCCACCACCCCATCGCATCTGGCGCGGGCGCCCGAAGAGGTGAGAGCACTGTCCTGATCCTGCACAGCAACCTGGGGCTTGTCACACGTTGAGGGCCTTGCACCTACCCAAAGGCAATCTGCCAGATGTGGCCTAGGGTCATCGGCCCTTCCACACCAAGTGGCTCCCAGTGCCCAGGCAGCTGATGCACCCTGCGACACGATGCTGCAGAGCCCTCCTTCCCCTCGCAGGGAAAAAGCAGTTCTGAGTCATTTCAGAGGTCCTGTCTACATCGTTTGCTGAAGCCCATCCCAATGAATGCACCCATCCCAACAATTGCCCTATTATCATTAGAAAAGTTAAAGGCACGCAAAATTAAGTCCTGCTTGAATACATCTAAGTCTGAAAAGTTAGGTCCCCAGTGCCTAGCAGGAATCTGCAGCTTAAAAAAGAGGGAGGCAAGAAAAAGGAACATGCAAAAAGACTTCTACTTTCCTAAGTGTTTTAAAAAGCTCTAGGCAAATATTTTTCTTTCTCACATTCCTTTCAAAGGCACTGATCCAAGTGTTTTGAGCAGCATGAGCTGTCAATTTACAAACTTACTGCTGCTCTGCTCACTAAGCAGTGTTTTGGGACAAATATATGCATATATCCACATGGATAATTAACAGCATGTAGTTGGTACTAATTGCTACTCCCCTGAGACTTTGCACTGCATCCGTTCAGAACCATCAACTATCGTTATTTCATCACAAGCTTCAGTGGTTTGAATTACATGAAAATTTGAGTTTTCATCACAAGAAACACCAAACTTCTAGTACTCTAGTACAGAAGATCCTGAAAATATGTTTGAGACATCTGGGAAATTTCAAAGTTCAGACTGTAGTTAGGAAGAAAACAAGATTCACATTTTTTAAACTGTCCTAACTGTTTTGAGGGGGCATAAAGCCTGATTTTGAAATGCTGTGGACTGGTACAACCCACTGCTGTTTTGTCTGACTGCCAGGACTGTGATTCCAGCCATTTTTACGGTCATTTCTTTGAAGCAGGTCAGTAACTGTAACATCTAGTTTATAGATAATGAAATCAGAGCAGGGGATGACAATGACTTTGCAAAGACAAAATTTAAGTCAGGAAAATAAAAAGGCAAATTCAGAATCTGGCTTCTCCGTGCTCTCAACTTTTACACTCTACTAAATCTCATGCCATCTCAAAACTAAAAGGGTTGGTAGAACTTCCTAATATACCACTATTGAGGCCCAGACAATCTGTCTCCTAACAATGTATCAGCTAAAGTTAATTTTCTCTCAAGTTGTCATTAGGCAGCAAAGAAACGTTACACATCGACTTTTCTTAACCTTCCATTTATGTTTAGTGGACAATTCAGCATTGCACTTCTCTTTTTACAGCAATTGCAATCACAAAATTTTGTAATAAGCCGTGTGCCTCTCAAAAATTGAGGGTGAATTCAGTCAGAAAGTATGTCTTCCGCTGAAATACTCAGAAAGGGCTCCTGGCAAGGATCTATTGATATCTGCAAAGCTCAGTAAAATTAGTCAGAAATCAATATTAGCCTATAAACACCACCATTCTCTTGGGAATTAACTGCTATACACAGCTGAAATAAATATTTTCATCAATTTTTATTAAAAAAAAAAAAAATCAGAATTTTGCCCGAATTTTAGTGTATTCTTTTAGGTCTCACGCAGATTTATCAAGAATTTTTAAAGCATATACAAGAAAAAAAAATAATACAAACTTTCAATTTTCTTTTCCGCTTACATAATTAATATGATCAACCTCTGCTTGCTACTACAATGTCACTTTTTTGCCCCTACTGGATTCTGAGAACACAAGCCCAAACTGAAGTCATAACACACAGTGATTCCCATGGAATTAAATAGCAGAAGCAGCAACACGAAGAACACTAAATGTTGAGCCAGTGCCCTCGGTGAAGTCCCTAACACTGGCCACTAAACCTAAATTTTCCTAAGTCAGTTGCATTGTAGGATGCCCTCCTCCACATCTTTACAAAGCTTGACTTTAAACAACTGCTATACACCTCCCATCTCAAAATGGCATCAAACTCTGAGGAGGTATTTTAAGGAACACATCCAATATTCACAAGTGACTAAATGTTTGAATCAAAATAAAGCAGGAAATGTCCAGGAAGAAAGTGCCCAAAAGGTGCAGGGAAAAATGAAGTAGACTCAATACTACTGCAAAGTACAGATGGGTAAATGAGCTGAGACAGTGAGAAGAAAGAGGAAATGTCATAACTGTGGCAACAGAAATGGAAAAAGCTAAAAACTGAGATGGAAAGGAAGAGGCAAACAAAAGCAGACAAAGCATTTTTCCTTGAATCACAGGCCAGAATAACCACTTCTTAAAATGCCATCCTAAAAGGCATCAGCAGAGAAAAAGGACTTGTAGTCCACAAGCTGGACACTTCATAATCAAACCACATTTATCCTCCGATTTCCTTCTTTTATCCATTTTAATCATACCTGATCTTTGGTCTCAGATTTCTACCGTCCAACATGCCCACACTCTTGCTACTCTTAAAGCTCAGAGACTCTACCAAAATGCCCATCATTGATTTCCAGTGCTGATTTCATGTTACCTCTCCATCCCCTGGCGATGCACTGTATTGTTTTCTAAGTATCTAACCTGTGCTGTAAGTCTCTGATTGCTCTGCATTTGCTCAGGACCCAGGACATGAAGACTTTGAAGCTCTCCAAAGCCAGACCTTCCAGGTGTAGGTAGCTAGATCCTGGGTAGATGGCTCTTCCAAGCTGTACTATGAGTCACCCAGAAGAGCAATCCCACCAGATGGACATACACTTGCAGTAGTTTTATAGCTGAACTGTTTCCTGATAACATAAGAATCAGGCACTCAGCCTTCCAGTAAATCCAAAATACCCCCATTCTCCTCATCCCTCCATGTCCTCTGCTTAAACTTTCTGCTGGTTTAAGAATAGAAAAGTTGTTGTTTCTAAGGAACTCAGGTACCTAACTTACATAAATACTTGCAAAAGTTCCATGAGATACTGTATATGTCTTTAAAGATCTAGATTTGGTGTTCTGAAATATTTAGTTTTATGCACATGGGAATCCTAGCTTGCCGTTATATGAACCTGGTCAGCAGCCAAGCACCACGCAGCTGCTCACTCCTCCCTTCCCTCCCAGCCATGAGAAGGGACAAATAAGCCAGGCTTGGGGTTCAAGATAGGACCAGGAGGGACAGATCACCCATTATGGTCATGAGCAAAAGGCAGACTCATTAGGGGAAGAAAAAAAGAACATACATTTTTTACAGACACTAACAACAACACTTAACAGAGTAGGACAGTGCGAAGCATTGCCACATCTTGAGAACACCTTCCCCCACCCCTCCCTTCTTCCCGGGCTCAGCTCTGCTCCCGATATCTCTACCTCCTCCCCCAGGGGCACAGGGGCAGGGAATGGGGGGTGCAGGCAGTGCTGCCACTTTTCCATCTTCGGTGGGGGGAGCTTCTGGAACTTGTTCCCCCTGCTCCATCATGGTCCGCCTCTCACAGGAGACAGTCCTCCACAAACTTTCTCCGATGTGAGTCCCTCCCACGGGCCGCAGTGTTTCCTTACACTGCTCCAGCATGGGTCACCAACTATCTCCGACTGGAGTCTCTCCCACGGCTGCAGCCCTTCCCGAGCTGCTCCGGTGTGGGACACCCCCACATGCTGCAATCCTCCCAGCACTGAATTACAGCAGCGGGGGCTGCCTTTTCCCACAAGACCCCGGCCCTCTTTGGGCACAGACACCTTGATCATCCATGTGAAAGGAAACACAGCCCATATATCAGTGTCTGCTCCACCGTAGATCTTCATGGGTGGCAGGGGGGGCCGCCCTGCCGTCTCCCCACAGGATACAGGGGGGTCTCTGCTCCGGCACACCTCCCCCCTCCTTTCCTCTGTTCCTCCACTGACCTTGGTGTTCATGCAGCTGCTGCAACTCCTCCTCACAAGTCCCACTGCCCATCACCACGTCCCTTCTTAAGTAAGTTATCACAGAGGTGCAGCTGATGGGCTCAGTTTTGGTGCAGAAGTGGAGCTGACTTGGAGCTGGGGGAGCTTCAAGAAGCTTCTCACAGGCGTACACCCCTAAAGCCCCCTCCCCTGCTACCAAAAAAAACCCCCACCACTCATTCAAACCCAGGACATAGCTTCACTGAAAATCACTCAGATTTACGCTAATATTTTCCAAAGCACTAGATATTATTTACCTTACAAGTTTTACTTTCAAAGGGATTTAGTCATCTAGGTCATGTAAGTACTTTAGAAAGTGGAGTTTTTTTCTGTTTCTCTTCCCATATTTTTCACACTGACTACTTTAGGTACTCAACTTCAGTATAACTCAAAGTGTACACTCTGTCTAATCAACTGACATAAACAGTTCCTTCCGAATGGTGAGTCACAGCATCCAAGTTAGATGCCAAAAGTTAGTGTGACTATCTGTCTGTGTATTGTGTCTACTTTTAGGCAACCAATTTTGTCAAGGCTGGCCTTCCAATGTACCATAAGGTAAGGACATACCACAGTTTTTCTTTCATTAGTTATTTGAAGACAGACAAGGCAGGTAAGACTTTTTTTCATGCATATGACTTTTCTGAACATGAAGGCAGGAAGGGGCCTTGATATCAGATGGAAAACACCCACTCCTCTTAAACCCCAAAACGTGCGGATACTTAGCAACTTTCATGTAAATAACAGCATCATCATAGTAATTTATCTTCTACTCAACATTGAACAAAGAAACACAAATGAAAAATTACCTGAGCACCATAGACTCGTTGCATTGCCTGAAGCAACTGGTTTGTATATTCGGTAAGGGTTCCTGCATCTTCTTCAAATACACTGAGCAAAGACCGAGTCTTCAATTAAAGAAAAAAAGCAAATGGTTTTAGTCCTGAGAGAAAATACTAAAAAGAGTCATAAATGGCTGTAAATAGTTGGTAGCAAAAAATACAAATCAATCAGAAATAATAAGGCTTTAACTTTGCATGATTCTGTTTATTCAGAATCTCAAAACATGTAGAAATTAGTCCTTCTATTGTGGATAAGTAAACTGAGGCGTAAGGAAGCAAAGTGATAAAATGCTACGGCCAAACCCTGACTCTCAGTCTCTTGTGCTAACTAATAGACATTCCTTCCAACATAATCAAGAATGTAAAAATTCCTGAATATCTGCCTGCTGACTACAGTAATCCAAACCACGTTAGACTCTGGGTCAAACACCACTGCTTGCTCACTTCTCTAATGTCAGACTGCATTAAAAGCACCCCTTTCCATGAGATAATTTACAGAGTATTATTCACTCTCAACTGTCTTGAGCAACTCTTAAAGGGCCACTGCCAAAGCTAGCTGATGGAATCAGACCAAACAACTGAGTGCTCATCTACAACAGGAACAGAAGTATACACCCACTCAGAGATACCCTGGACTTTCTCCATTCTGCTAGCTCATCCTTGTCAGCAAACAGGGAGGAAAAGAGCATAATGACTTGTGTTATCTTAAAAGACATGAATTCCCTTGGTTTGTTTTGGTGGAATCACCAGGAACAAAGAATTACAGTGCTGACACAGCTCCTGAGATGGGAAACAAAGATATCTCAGAATAATGGCTGAGCTCCAGAACTTGCTAGATCGTGACAATAATGAAAGAGGGAAGGCTGTCCCTTTAACAAAGTCATGATCCATCCTTAGTCTCAACTTTGGTAAATCCAATCTATTTGATGTTAACTGGCAATGTCTTTCCATCTGTACAGCTAACTTCCATGGCATTAATTAGTTTCATCTGCTCATGTGAGGGACACGCATAAACACCAGTACTTTCATAATCACAGCAATCCAGTAACAGAGCAAGTGCTTTATCTATCCTATTACAGGAATCTCTAATGTACCTGAAGGAGCCACGTTCAAATCTGGGAAATTTATTTCAAAGATTTAAGATAGTTTTAAGTTGCTTCACTATTTTAACAGAAGGCACATATACTTCCTCAAGGCATTTATTCTCCTCTCCAAAACTCTCTGCCCATACTTTATGTTTGTCCTGAAAACTCAAAATCAGCATCCTTCAAGAACCCTGGCCTAAGAATAACTATCATTTAATCTCTGCTAAGAAGTATCTAAACCAGAAATCAGTGTTGCTCAGCAGTTAAAGCACATGACTTGGGAGTCGGTCCTTGGGTTCTCTTCCTGACATTGCATGGGAGTACTTCCATACTTTGAGTAACTCTAAAGCTCTCAGCATTCCAGACTGCTAACGTGCTAAACTGCTACAATACTCCTACCTTAGAGACACTGGCAGTCAGTGCATTTGAGAAACTAGTTTGATATCTTAGCATGTAAGGAGATAAGTAATACAAAGTACTGTTTTCAAATAAAGAGAACATAAAACCAAAGAATGGCAAGAAGGCCAAGTCAATGAAATGGATACCAAGAACCCAAACTTATAAAAAACCTTTGTGCAAAACTTCCTTACGAGGACAGTAGCATCGTTCTGAGAGTTCTCCACATTAAGTTATTATTTCAGGAACTGAAAACATATTGCTTTTCAAAAATACCTAGTTTTAAGTGGTTCATCTTCAATGGTGCATTAAAACAAGCAAAACTAATGTCAACAAACTATCTTCTATCCACATGGTGCTCATCTTCCTTGTTTTGTGTTACAACAGCATATGAAATGCACAGGGTATGAAGATGGTTAAAAAAATAAATCTGTGGAAGGCAAAAATGATAAAACTGACATAACGCTTATCAAGACAAATCTCTAGCCAAGACTAAAGAGCTGTAATGAAATTGCCAGAAGTAGGCTACAAATCACACATCTCTGAATGCTGGAAAAGGCTTCCAAACAGAAATTCCTACTACATTCCTGAATCTTACTGAATTTTTGCAGGTTCAGTTTTTCAGATGCCTAAATATGGGCTGAGGTAGAACAGCTCTGGGAAATAGTATCTGAAAATCTTGGCCTCAGTTATTAACACATTGTTCAAAAACAAGAAAAACAATAAATGATTCAAGCAGTCTGGAAGTTATTCTTGGAAACTTTTATATATAAGAAAACCATTTTAAATCACTGCACCAAAATACCAGTATGTGTATATTTTCATTGTTGCTGGTTTGAAAAATCCTGGAATAGCAGCTAATGCTGCTGAAATAAACCAGTAATCCAAATATTAAGCTAACATTTAGGAGGCCTCATTAATAGCACCATTATCTCAGCTTCTGGAAACTTCGGAAAGAAATTTGTTCTTTCATGTAAGTATTTCCTTTGGTTTTAGCATGACTGCTTACGTAAATTTCTCTCCTATTTTATGGCCAAACGCTTCAAAATTAAGACCCTTACGGCCTTCTTTATCCAGTGCTTGGAGACAAATCAAGACAAAAGTTTCAGAAAACTGATGAAGAGATAACTTTGGCCTAATTCTCGTCAGTCTTGCACGTAATTTATATACTTCACACAGTTTATACAAAGTGAGGTTATGTCCTCATTTTAGCATCCCTTTGCATTGCTTTACGTGACTGCACAGGGCAGAGGAGAATCAGGTCACTTTACACAGAAGCAAATGAACCCACAAACTGCTACACTGCAAGTTCTGTGGGACAGAAACTGCTTTGATATTGTAGCTACCAGCTCACAAAGGGACTCTGTGGTGTTGTGCATCTACAGTTCTCCCCAAGAAAAAAGTAATAAAAATATAAAATATTTAGACACCCTTCCCCCCATTTCCTTGCATGAAAAAATAGATTTTAGCAACACTGGGCCATTATAAATATTAAATAATTCCCCTCCCTCCCAAAACTGTAGGACTTGAACAAAATGCAATGACCAAATCAAGCCAAAACATCCTGCAAATACTCTGGCTTATGCACAGCTTGGTATTTCCAGTAATTGCAAAGGAGATGTTAACAGCCTTCATTTCAGGTCAGAAGAAAGATGAAGTCCTCCAAATTCAATTCAGTGCATTGTTCAACTGCTTTCAGCCAGTGTTACATTTTCAATCATTGAAGGAAGTGTTGACTGAAAAGGTAAATGAGTTCACCTATCCTGCGTGTCAAGTTCTTCAGCTCCAGCATGCAGCGGGGAGGTTAATACTGAAAATGTTAATACCTGCTCATAAGAAATCTAGTACATTTTGGTAAACTGTGGAACACATGACAGTTCAGGCTGGCAGGGAACTCTGCAGGTCACCTTGTCCAAACCCCTGCTCAAAGCAGGGCTGACTGACATCACATCCAGTTAGTCAATACATTTTCCAGTAGAGTTTTGAAAATCTCCAAGGATGGAGATTCCACATGTGCCCAAACAAACAGATTATGAAAATCATTCTTACTAGGATGGGATTTCACAGAATCACAGAAAAACAGGGTAAGAACAGGTGATCTAGATGAGCCCCAAGCTTCATTAAATCCTGACAGGTGCACATCCAATCTCTCCTTCAAAATGTCTCATGACAGACTCCATAACACCTTTCAGCAGTCTGCTCCACAGCTTACCTATTCATTCCTTCTCCTGACCCATCAGCAGATGAGTTAGGATTACAACAGAGGGCTACTTGGAGGCAGGATCCATGCTGACCCAGCCTGCCCTACCTTTTTCTTTTGCTGCTTCATCAATTACTTTTGTACCTCTGTCTGCACCATGCTTTGTCCCCAAGCGCGCCTTCCCCACCTCTCTGTGAAATTTCCACTCTTTCCCTTCCCCCTTACTTCTTTCTTCCACCCAAACTTTCCTCCTTCCATCCTCCTTTCCCAGCTCTTGAGCACTCACACCTCTCTGCTCCCCCAAAACATTATAACATGATCTGTTCTTCACCGTGGGGTTTTCTACAGTCCTCAGGGGTCCCAGCAGTGGGGCACAGGGTGCTACACTAGGCTGGGTGCAGTGCCGGGGTGAGAGGAGAAACGTCCTCCCCTGCCTACGGTGGGGAAGGAAAGGGCGGCAACCGCCTGTCCTCATTTCTTGGACTCCTGCAGAAGGAGGTCATCTTCGGTGGGATCCATCTCATCTATCCTCACAGGAAGCCCTTGGGGCCCCTCACTACAAGTGGGGAGGGCACAGGCACGCTGGTGGTGACATTCCTTCAGCCCAATTTTGTCACCAGGGCCAGGTGACTCACAGGGCTGAAGTCTCTCTTTCCCTCAGGGTCCTTGGGGGAAGGCAGTCCACCAAGCCATGCCCACCCAGCTTTCCACAACACACCTCGCCTCTTCAGGGTGACTTACAGCCAGCGAGCGCACACCAAGACAAGGCAGTGCAAGGGAAAAAGGCAAAGGAGAGGTTTCTCTGAGGGAGGTGAGAAGGCGCTGTGCCCCAGCCTCCTCACACCCTGGCCCTCCACGCTGGGTCGCAGCCCTCTTCCCCGGAGGTCCCCAGGAGCTGACACGACCCGTTTTTCCCCCAGCAGATGTCCAGGAGGAGCCCGAAGCCTTCCCCCGACGCCACACGGGTGCCGTTTACCTTCTCCGCGGCATCCCTGCTCCCCGACGGCTCCCACGGGCGAAGCCACCCTGACCCACTTCTCCGCCCGCCCTGCTGCCCCGCCGCCCCGCTCTCCCACACCGCCCGCCGACACCCCTCTCCCTGCCGCGGGACGGCTGCGCCCCGGCCCTCCCGAGGTACCAACCCCGCTCCGACCCGGCCGGACCCCGCGGGCACCGCCAGCTCCGGCTCGTCCCACCGACCGGGCTCTCCCCCGGCAGCGGCCGCACCCCCCCCCGCCCTTCGCCCCGGCTTGGCCCCCCGGCAGCGGGCCGCTACCTGCGGGCTGTCCTGCAAAGCCTCTTCCAGGAGCAGCCTGTCGACGGCGGGCATGTTGGCGCTGCGGCGCGGCCGGGCGCGGGGAGCTGGGTACGCGGCAGGCGCCCGCTGGCACGCCCCGGCGGCGGGGCTCGGGCGGCGTCCCTCCCCGCGGGGGCGGCCGCGGATCTCCGCGGGCAGCGGGGCACGGCGGGCGGCTGGCTGCGCTGGCGGGGCAGGGACGGCAGCCCGGGGCCGCTCACTCCTCCCAGTTCCCGTCCGCCGGAGGAAGCGAGTCACGGGGAGGGCCGGCGACAGGGGGGGAGCGCGGCGGGCGGGGGGTGGTGTCCTGCCGCCATTAACTCCGCGGGCCTGGCCGGCGCCGCGGCGGCCTCGCCCGTGGGGAGGGAGGCCCCAAATGGAGGGCGCCCCTTTCCCCTCCTCCCCAGCTGCGAGCAGCGGGGGGCTGGGATGGCCTCTTGGCTGCCCCTGGAGAGTAGGGTGCTGGGAAAGGGAGCGAACGCAACAGGGGCGGTGAGATCTCCCCCCAGCGGAGGGGGCTCTCCCTGGCCGTGTGGGTGGGAGATAAATGAGGGGAAGGTTGCGTCCTTCCAGCCCGGGCTCGCAGGGCTTAAGTACCTCCACTTGTGGGTGAGCCCCTTGCTGTGCCCCTCGCAGTGCCGTGGCTCTCCTCAGGGCCACCGCAGGGCTGTCCAGCCGGGGTGCTGGGGCCCCGCGGGGCTCGGAGAAGCACCCCAGGGCCTCGGCCGTTTTCCAGGCCCAGCGCAGCCGCTGGCTGAGACGGGCCTGCCTGCGAGTGGCCCTCACTTGTGGTGTCTGCGTTCTTAGGGACAGGTCTGCAAGCAAAACTGGGGGGCCCCAGAGCGCTCCAGGCAGGCCAAGCCCCACTCAGCCAGATCCTTACGGTTGCGGGGTTAGAAGGGACGCATTTTAAGTTACTGGTCCTTCATACACAAAGTCATGTTTTTATTATTGTCTCACTGCTGTCTTAATTGCGTCGGATCACGTCAACATTTGGACATCAGATGCTTAGATGAACAAAGCTAATGTTTGCAAAGTAAGCAAAGTCTTGCTTGATCCATGAGTATTTTGTTATGTTCATGTTTTTGAAGGGTGCCCAGTATATTTGAATGCTTTCGGTTTCTCTAAAAGTCCGGGGTTACTCTGCAGATCAGTTGCTCCATGCTTGTCAGCTGTAGCTTTTGTTGTTCCAGTGTGGCTTAGGACGAAAGTGGAGATACTCAAAACCAGGATCTCATTTAAGAAAAAAACATTTCTGAAGGGTTTAGGAAGAATCCTGCCAATTAAACAGAATATGCAAACAAAAACATTGGCTGTAAGATGATGTAAGATGATGTAAACTTCGAAGAAATTTCACAGTCTTTAGATAACTCATGTTGCTGCCCTCTTTTAAAAGAAGAAAAATAATATTTAAAAAAATGCAATTTGAGCTGTAAAAGAGCTCCAAACTTTAGCATTGGTATGCTTTGCCATTATGGTAAGTGCCTGCTCTTTCCATCTAAAGTCCAGTGGATTTTTCCACTTCTGACATTCTGTAACAATAGTGAACATTTTACATGTCAAGAAAGGTGATTGCTAATACAAGTTGTTTTTTTTTTTTTTTTGCTGATTAAAAGACTGTACACAAGCAGGTGGTCTTAGGAAAGTTTTGCAGTTCAGTTGGATGATTGCTTTAATTATGTATGAGAAATGATTACTGAACCCTGTAATTTTGGCTAAGATATTTCTGTGGGTCTGACATTGATTGGTATTGCTTCTGAAGCTCGTGATAGGACCTTTAACCCAATGTGCCAAGCCTGCCTTGATATGACTGCTCCACTGGTCCTGAAGCTGGACTTTCTGTTCCAGGCCCTTGAGTAAGAACAGCGTTCTCACGTTCAGTCCACTTTTCCTGCCTGAATAAAGACACTGAGCCATAATAGAAATCACTGGCTAATACCAAAAATACTGAGTATGACAGTATGTATTTACATAATGAGAAAACAAAAATAGATATGACTTTATCATAATAATGTTGTGTCAGAGAATTTTAGAAAGGTGGAAGGAGGTCAGAGAAATTTTTTTTGCCTACAGAATATGAAGTAAAGCATTAGACTTAAGAATCCATGACCGCTTCTGAGCCAATTTTGTCAGTCTGTGTTAAAGTCTTAGTCTTCTTTCTTCAGAGATTTTGAAAACATTATTTGAAGTGCACCGAGGAAGAGAAGACTCTGCTTTATCAGATTATCTGTTAAAGTAGCTTCAGGGCATTTTTTAATATTTTCCAAATACTTCTGTTATAACTCTGCCCTTTTCTTTCTCCCTATTTCCTAGACTATTTCTAGTCTAGGAATAACTGAGCAACAGCTCTTCCCCATTAGGTTGAAGTGTTTCCTTCACCAAGAAAACATCAACATGGTTTGTGGTTTTATTTCACATTCCCTCCCAAGAGATATAACCTTCAAGGTCTTACCTTGTTCCTCTTGATGGCTTTGTTTAGTCTAAGGTTCAAGTGTGGAAGCCTGTTGTCATTCCAAAATTGAGGGTAGCCATTTCCAGAACAGGTTTTACTAGTGTTATTTAAATAAAACAAAAAGCACTTTAGTAACTACTGGAGGGTGATGCTTTTACTATCTGGCATTCTTTTTTGCATCTTTCCTTACACAGCTATCAACTTGGTGGATTGCTTATTTATAGCGATCAAAATATTTTTATTGAACTGTCCTAATACAGTCCAGATGTTTTTGAATTAAAAAAAAAAATAAAAAATCCTGCCTACTAATAATTAAAATTACCTTTTCCTTGTATTACTGATAATTGCAATTAATTTCAAAGTCACCTAGTTTTATTTGGTCTCAAGAATTATTCATCAGTCTTGGTAACTCCAGATAATGTTCCTAAAATAATTAACCCATAGTACTACCACCAAACACTTCAACAATTTATTTATACAACAGTAGTGATACTGTGGAAAAAACGGGTACCTTTGTGGATAGGCAGACCTTTGGGTAAGGAGTGTCTAAGCCTTTGACACAAGAAGACGCTGCCTCTGGGATTCACGGGTCTCTGCGCGGCACTGGTGCCGCAGTGCTAGGCTGCCGGGCCTCGGCAGCGCGCTGGCAGCAGCCTGGCGGGCCCAGCTCCAGGTGGCATGCTTTGGGGGCACACTGCGGTACCTGTGCTGCATCTGGGTACCTGAGGTAGCTTCTTCAGAGCCGTCTCGGTAGCTTTACGTTGCACAGTGGTTTATTGCCGCCTGGAAGAGAAGTAGCATGGCGTTTCCTTTGTTGTGTGGTCCAGGAGCTGCTGGCCGCACTGGGCAGTGCTAGCGGCCGACTAACAGTGGTTTGGCTCCTGTCTTCTAAATCCAGGTATTGAATGCAGTACTCGGTTACTACAAAGTCTTGCTAGTGAAAAGCACTCTGACAGCTATTCTTCAAAGCCAGGTTTAATGGGAACATTGCACATACGGAAAGAAAACAGGGAAAGAGCAGAAACAGTACCCAGAATCAATCACCTGAATGTTCAGACAACCTGTCACGGCAGTATGAGCTAAGCTGGAGAAAGCTTCCGGTAAGCAATCCAATTAATTTTTATGTGCGTATTCTGTAACCTACAGGTGACTTGATTGTGTTAAGATAAATACTTCTTAGAATGTGAAAACTTCAGGTAAAAACCCTGGAATGGCCAAAGTGAAATTGATACATACTGCTTCTAAAACTAAGAAGAACTAATGGTATCAAATAAAATCAATAAATAATTGAGCGTTGAGTATGAAGTAATTCACTACATGAACTACTTGTGCTGTTTCTAAGAAAAGAAGGTGCTTTATTTCGACGAAAGCCCGAATGTAGCCCCAAAATCACACAGTTAAGAGAATGAACAGTTTTAAGGGAAGGAAGAACGTTTGGATTTATCTGTAAGTTCTCAACCTGTCTGCTGTTAAATCTCACAGCAAAGTGATGTAAAATCTTCCAGTCCTACTGCAGTTTCACAGAAATTAGTGCATCTTCAAGCTTGAATTTGGGGTGTTACATGTGATAGTCTTGTTCCTGTTTGAGGCTGGTCAGGAATATCCCTTGGTAACCAGCCAGTCAGGTATGGTCCTCCCCAGACTGCCTTTGCTCACGGGCAGAAGGGAGGGCAGTGTGAGGTGGCAGCTGAGGACTGTGGTTCCGCAGGACCGGAGGGTCTCGGTGCCATGCTTTCAGGTCTGCCCGAGTGCTTTTCCACCTAACTGCCCGGCGCCAGCTCGGGGCTGGAAGCAGCAGTGCTGAACCTGGATGGTGCTGTGCATGAGTTAATAAGCCCTTGCCAGCTTTAATTGGCTTGTTTGGAAACAAGGCAGCTGTTGTGCATCCTTAGCATAATTTATTTCCAAATGTGATAATCCACCCAGTATTAATGGTGAGCTGACTATAATTATTTTTTCTGGTTAGACTAGTTACAGAGTAACTCATATTGCATTGTGTTTTCTTTCTCAGATGTTCCATCATAACTTTAAAGAACATATTGCATTATACTTCCTTTTTGGCTTCATACCTTATACTTTACAAGAAATTTCTGAGCAGTAGTGTGCTAGTCACATGTTTCCTGAGTCAGCTGAGTCTATTTATGCATTTAACACAGTGTCTAATATTCTTCTTCATGATCAGCAACAAAGAAATCTTTGAAATACAGATGGCTTTTAGAGGTATAATAATTTACCCTAAGTTGTGTGGCTGTCCTGCATAAGTATGGAAGGTATATTAAATGATAGCAGCAATAAATTGCTTCAGATGAATTCTTTACAAGTAAAAGATTGAAAAAGATTCTCACTACTGTCACTACCAGAAGCATCCCAAAACAATTTGTTAGTAGTACCCGAATAAATTACTGGTTAAATTAATAATAGGACATCTAGTGTGCAGGAGAACTCTCGGACACATCGAGAAGGAGGATCTTGTGATTTTGTGTATGACCCACAAGATAATACCAGGCTGAAATAAAATTCCATTGAAATTATTAACTGCCATGTAACCAAGATCTCATGCTCTTTGTTTTAACATAAAACACATGGCTTTGTTTATTTCCATCAAACACATTAGTAATATGCCAGAATGGGTATGTACAGATGTACTGGCTAGTGGGATGGATTGAATTAAAATCTCTTTGAAGGTGATGGGTGTAACTGCCAT